ATATATATATATATATATATATATATGTGTGTGAAATAAGTTAGTACTTATTATGTATATTAATAGAAATAAGTTCTTCTTTTATAATCTGTTTTTTTCGGCACAAACAAAATTTCACTTTTAATTTTTATAAATTCTTTACTAATGTGTGATATTGCTACTCCAACTTCGGATTAGAATTGTTTTCAAGATCGATAAATAATTTTCGCACATAATTTAACTTGAACTGAAAATTGTATGAATTAACAAAAAATATTATTAGGCGCAAAAAAATCGTTTTGATCGATTGTATATGACATTTTCTATTCATGATAGTGAAATCAAATTAATGGTTCATATATTAAACACATACATGTTTACATACATATATGTTTAGTAAATATTTACTTAGAATTTTTTAAATAAATATTCATTAAAATTTATTTATTTTTTTCATTGTAATTATTTTGATAGTTATATAATACGTAACATTGTTTTAATGGTCAATAAAATTATTATATTATTTTCAGACCAGTATCTAATCAAATTTTTTAATACTTGAGCAAAATCGTTCCATGTATGAACTCCATATTTATTTATTGTAAATAAATGCTTATCTGCGATTTTTTCATAGTTTTTTCATAGTTTTATAAAAAATTAGTTTCCAAACTTGCATTCTTATTCACTTCAGAACGTACAGAGGAATTTACATAAATGTTGAATTGCGATTGCCGGCTTCGGCTTTAGACTTTAGGCTTTAGACTTTACACAAGCGACGTGACGGTGGGTGGTAACGGCTTGCAATTGCGTGGAGGGAGAAACGGCTACTTGGCAGGGGAATAATAACGAAGACCGGACTGACACACACGAGGCGTGCAAAGAGCCGTCGGAGACGTGAGGCTTTATAAATCGCGAGGATGCACATCGAAGCAGTAACACCTCGGCTGACGACGGTGAAAAACGCGCGGCCGCGATCGACTAAGAACGGCGAACACATTTTTCACATTTGAGCACCGTGAGTATCGTATCCGTGGATTAAAGACGCGGCGCAAAAGTTTCCAACAAATGACATCGGAAAGTTTCCTACTGATGATCAACGATCGTTCGTCCTGTATATTTTTCGCGAAAAGATGGTAAAAGATTCCTCCCTTCTTCGAGGGAGGGATTGAAATCTTGATTTCAAAGGGTAGTTCGATCGCGATTAATTTACTACTAGTTTTCTAAGTTTTTTTCTTTGTTTTATCGGCCTCCTTTCGACGATCCAAAGTATTTGAAATAACGAACCTCCGAAAGGTTTCTGAAAAACATCAAGAACGATATCGACATTTTGGCGCAAACAAACATTTTGTTAGCCATATTGCCACACTTTAACCGTGTAAGGTCGATCGTTCACGTCAGAACCATTCAATCGGTTACCTTCTCCGGAAACAGATCGACCGGAACTCGCCGCCTCGAGGAAGATTGCGAGATTCTTCGACACGACTAGTCGATGCGCTTCCAGCTGCAGTAGCATCGATCGTTGCAAATTGGATTGCCGTTAAGACTCGAGCGACGGAGACCACCTTGGAGTCGAGCAGACTTGTTCAGTGTCGACGGTATCAGCGCGAAATTTCCAGAGAGAATTTCGGAGTTCAGAGCATTTGCGACTTAATTTGCCATTGGAGAAGCGCACGTTCAACACCCGGGATGTGCCATAAACGAGCGTGACTGAGAGGAAGAAGAGTATGCGAACTGCACTTGTTAGCAGGGCTTGTAACGAGAGTTAGTGATCTTAACAAGGTAAGTACGAATTCTTTGACGCAAGCATAATAACATATGTATTGATAAAAAAAGTGATACAAGTAAAAAGTTAATATTTTTAAGATTATGAAAGGAGATCGAACCTAAAGACTAATATATTTTTATGAAAAAACAACACATTTGTAACTTATTATTATTTATATAAAAAAATATTACAACACTAATAAAGGAATGAAATTTACACTATACTAGGATTGCAAATTCATGACATAGCTTTAAAGAATACGTTATAATTACAAGTATAACATGGAAAGAAAGTGAAGTTTTAAAAATTACATATTTATTATCCTAATTAAGACGGTGCTTCAAAAAAAATTAAGAATTTTTAAAATACTCTACTGAAAAATTGTTGATTTTGAGATATGTCACTTTTCTATTGAAGTAGTGCGATGTACTGAGATACGAATTACATTAAAGTAAGTTTCTGTTTGATTACAGAAGAATGTAAAATGGCATTTTGAAACAATAATACGCAAAGTATATGTCTTCTTCTTAGTAATAAACGGTATAAAAATATATATATTTTCTGTTTTATCTTTTTTTTCCGCTTCGACTGAAAATAGAATTAATGCTCTTAATTGATTATTTCTTTTTACTATATTCTTTGCGATTATAAGCCCGACATATGATGATGATAACACATGCAGTTGTCAGGGATGATTTTATTTTGGAAAGATCTAATAATCTCTATAATCAGACAAGTCCCACATGATTGCATATAATTAAACGTGGCCTCATTGATAGTCGCACAGGAATTTATATGGGGCACTTTAATTACGTTATCGTAAATGAAGATCAATTGAAAATCCTATTAAGGCATTATGCAAATTTAATAACTGTTAATTAACAGGTTACTATGAAATTTCGGTATGAAGTCACATACGATAGTCCTGCTAATGTAATTATCGATATTTGATTGTTTTGGAATAACCAACTAAGGAATTTTTTTCAAATATTTATATATTTTTCATTGCACAATATGAGAGACCTCGACATAAATTAAGAATGAATTGATACTTATTTTATTTAGGATTATCCGACGCACATGATAAAGCATAAAAAGTGCACTGTAAAAGAAACTAACGTATTAAAAATCGCTAGTTTTATATATTATTCTCCTAAACTATCTCACTTAACTACAGAATCGTATAATTCAATATCATACACAGTAAAAAATTTGTGTGTTTGTGTTGGAAATGGCCCACTCATGTTTGTGTTAACAGTTTGTGTTGAATTTTTTAATTCAATATTCGAGTGTTAATTTAACATAATATGATTACGTTATTTAAAGATTTTTTGTGAAATTGATATTCAATGTTTTTCAGTGTTAAAATAACACAATTTATGAGTAAATGACCATGTAACATCAAAATAATGTATTTTAAAACGTAAATTCTTAGATAAATGAATAAAATCCGTGTTAATTTAACTTATCACAAATGTTAATTTTCTGACAAAAAATATACTTTCACGGTTTGTTTCCAAACTGTATCA